TTTTAAGGAGCAGAAAGCTCGTTATACGGTTTGGAGGTTTTCACTGCATTTGCTAAATCTATGTCATGCAGAGGTTTTTACATATTTCAATACAATTATGATGATCATGTTGTATCATGCATTATACATGGAACATGTACATCGAAACTAATATCTACACAACACACTGCAAGGAATACTCTGTGGAGGAAAAATAAAAAAATAAAAGCATAAAATTAAACAGATCGGTACTGTTAGGGCACAAGTTCTTGCGTAAACATTTTCTATTTTTATTCGATTTGTGCTAAAGAGGACATTTTGTAGTCTGCTACTATGTAAAATAAAATATATAATTATACTAAAAAATCTTAAAGAAATAATCAGTTTTTAATCCCCTCCTATAAAAAACTTAATTTTTACATACAACTTTTACGCACTAACAGTAGCAATATGTATGGTTAGTATAAACGGCGTGATTTTGGTAATATTGCTGAAAGGGTGGTACGTTTTAATAAAAAAAGTGTAGGAACTAATTACAAATAACTACTTGCGGCATATTTTCTGCCTAAAATACCCAATTCTGAATCCTGGATTAATTACTTAGGGCACCATTTCTTTCTGATTCCAGTAATTTCCAAAAGTTAAAAGCGAAAAACCATGGATGGGAAGCCCTAAATTCTTGTGGTTAAACTTTGCTGTCAGTACCTAATTCCCAACGCAGCAACATCTTCACACCCGATATTTCTACGCAGTGGAAAACGAATTTATTAGAAGACCAGTTAGCTGAGAACTTTTCTCTCAAATATAGTCCCATAATAAAGACCTCTGAGTTAAAAAAAAAAGACAGAAGACCTAGAAGATACTGTGAATTCCTTTACAACTTTGATCCAGCAAGTAGTTAGCACTATTACTCCACCTAATCATTCTCCAAAACAACGCAAAATAAATGCCTTATCATAATACTTATACAATCCAAACGATTAGATCTTATCCACTCCAAACACTTTAGGGTTCTCTGACAAAGAACCAGACATGCTGAGGATCGAACATTTTATAATTATTATTCAGAACAGGTTAAATAGAAACTGGCTACCTTCAGATCCCAATCTTACAACTCCTACCTTTTTTCAATATCTGCACATGATAACTCCCTCTAAGTAACTAAAAAAAAATTCCTAAATTCCACTCTATTCTAGTCATATCGTGATTAGCACAAATAAAAACATAGTTTATCATTATTCGAATCATAATCACATTTGTAATTAAAACACTATGGACTCGAGCTTCTATCGCAGCACATTTGCTTCGTAAAATGTACTTTAAATTTTCAGAATCGAGTAATTCTGTTAAAACCGGATTTAGAACAATCCAAAGGCTTCGAGATTCGAATTCAAGAAATTTTTAATATTTATAACAATGCTTGTTTCAGTATTGTTTAAGAACTCGTCATACAGATGCCAAGACAACTTTGTTTTTCGTAAACGAAAAAAAATTATATAAGGCATTTCCTAGCAAAAACATGCTGTTTTTTATTAAACTTTTTTTGTTCTTCCCTACCTCGCGTTTTAGGCTATACGGGATTTTCCAGGGCTGGAAGGTGAGGGCAGGGAATTTAAAATCTCCTCCATCGCCGAGACGCGAACTCGTACTTTTTATACATTTTTTTTAATCTCATAGCTTCAGTTGTCTGGTTGCCGGGCAACTCTCGGTGATGTGCGCGTTATCCTATTCCGCCAGGTATTTCTCGTTAATATAGCCAAAAAATAGAGCTACGTCTTTTTTGACGAATAATTTTAGAGCGATTCAAGTGTGCGTTTCTCGTTGAAGAATTTATGATTTCCATAGCCGATGATGTTGAAGAACTTGAAACCATACAAGCTACATAACGCGATTTTTCTAACAATGGAATTGACTTATTGATAATGTGTTATTATTGACGATAATAACACATTATCAATAGCAACACTTTATTGATTCACAAAACAATAATATCATATTATGATATAATTAGGAAGAATACAGGCACTTGGTGTTGATACAATTGTCCTACATTTATTTAACACTACATCACGAAGTCATGAGATTTCCTCTGTTTATTGTATTCCAAAATATTCCACTTTCTGCTCTAAGAACAAACATTTGATTTTGTTTATAAATGAATGAAAACGTGTTTATTGTACTTTTAAAAAAAATTATACAGTAAAATATAAATATATATATATATATATATATATATATATAAACACGAAAATTAATTTGAAAAAAAAGGAAAAGAATTAACTACCTATATGAAATGATTTTTAAGTTATTCTTGAAGTCTTATTAAATGTAATTGCAAAAACAATATTACTTTAAGAGATAGTTTTTAATATATTTTTCTATAAAGCATAATTATATTTTACAGTTTTGGGGAGAGGAGGGGGCTTCAGCGCAAAAGTCTCTCCCCCCCCCTCCTCTCCGTAGATCCGCCTGTGAAGGAAGTTACCGCTATTCAATTTCCAATGTAAGATTTAAAATAATAAATCCTAATATGACAAAATTAGGCTATGGTGAAAAGTTTTTGATCGGCAATATTAGAGGGTATTCAAATTTTTACACTGATCTACCTTAATAAGCCTGTTTACATTGCTTTAGTTTATCAAATAAATCGTACTCAAATCTTTTCTTTCATCAATTTTCAGGAAAATAAATCTAATTCATTTTTTTTGGATTCTTGACCGACATATGTAAAGATATAAAAACTTTTCTGAAATAGGTAGGAAAGACCTGTGAGTGGACACACCTGAATTTCTTATTACACCTTTGCAGCTCTAAAAGCATCATTTTTTGTCTACTTTTATGATTTGATTAAACCTTTCTTTTGAGGTGATGTTTTTATAAACAGTATTGTAGAAAAAATACTTGAAATTATTTCAGTGTTTATTTAGGTTTTAAATCAACAAAATAACCAGAGTAACGGGCATTTTCCAAAAACATGTTTTCATTCGAAAAGAAAATTAAAAATAGCCGCTGAGAAAAACCTGTGACCCTTAAAAATTCTTCAACTATGGTTTTGAACTCTTGAATAAATATGGATGGAATAACTGATTAACAAATTACAAAAATCAAACATCTGGGTGATTTTAAATGGATTGATCCTGTATGTAACAAAAACAAAAAAACGTGTTTCTGTTGATGTTAGTACATGATCCTTTATTATTCAGCAGAATCTGCTAATGGCAAGTATCAGACATTTTTTTGTTATTCATTATTGGAAGATGCCCTGATTCTCAACTCATTCATCATGATCGAAAGACAAGACATTCATTAGGACCAGATGACATTTGCTCTCACAAGTGAAAACTTCTGTTCACCCTGAATTCCACAGGATCTCTGTGAAAAAAAAAATATCTAAGACATAAAGAAAAAAACTATTCAATCATAAAGGTGAATCTTTTCCCAAGAGGTCCTTGGCAGATACCAGGTATATATTATGAAATCTATATGAAAAATCAATTATTAATAAAACTGCAATGATGTTAGGGTATACAGATGACAAAGACATAATGGAACAAACTTTTGAAGCCATTAAAGATGTATTCTTGGAGCTCCAATGGGAAGCTCAAAGAATGAGGCTAATTATTAATGATACAAAAACAAAATACATGACTAGAACCCTCCATGGAGAACCATACAAACATATTGGGTCACATTCCTTGAAAGAATGGAAGTCTTTATTTTTCTATGATCATAAATCAATTCTCAGAATTACATTGCATAGGAAATTCAATCTATACAAACAATGCTACCATGGATTAGTTGGACATTTCAAGAACAGAGTAGTATCCCAAGCCACCAAGATCCCTCTGTATAAGACATTGGTAAGACCGATACTGAAAAGAATCATGGGAGCAATGTATGTAAACGGAGTGTGGAGACAGCGGACTTATATTGAATCAATGCAGCTTTATGAGGATGCTGTGGTGGGCAAGAAGTGAGCTCTCCCAAGAACCCAAGAAAAATAGTTATCCTGTGTTATTTCATGCAATTGTTAAAAATTGTTGAGATTACATCTCAAGAAATGTTCCAGCTTTATACATTCCTTGACCAAAGTGGAGGTACTAGCCAACAATGGACTAACAGATAATAAGTGTATTATTGCCGCCATATAAGTTTGAAATGAAATTTACAATACCTATTTCACTGACCATAAATTGTGAAATACTTTATATGATACACAAGAATATTTTCATACATATTTATTATAATTCTAGGGCAGAACTTCAAACTTACAAAAACCATATCAAATCTTATGAAACAAATAACATTTTATTTATAAGTTTTAGGAATAATAATTTTGACAAATTAAGATATTACATTGTTTATTATTAATCGGAAACTGAATATCAATAATAAACTAAGTGCCATACAAAAAAAAATTGATTTAGAAAATTATAGAAAAGGCAAATAAATGATATTGTCAACATCCTAAAAAAAGCAGACTAAATGCCACAATGATTAACTCTCTTGATGTTTGTATTAACAAACTTAATTATTGGGTTTTTTTTTTTTTTTTTTAAACTCAGCTTTAATAAATTTTTGTTTCTCGATAATGATACTCATAAAGAAAATTTTTATCTCTGATTTAAATTACCAACATATATCAAAATCATTCCAAAATTCCCGAATCATAAATAAACAAAAAAATGAGAATGAGAACGATAAGTGGAATAATGATTCTTTTTTTTTTATTACTATCACATCAAATGTAATAACACATAAGTTATATGAACAAGACTTTCTTTATTCTCCATTTTTTCTGTCACATTTGGCTGAATCATCAGTCAGAAATAAGAGATAGACATTTAAAATTTTGTTAAATACTTTTTATAGAAACAACTAAAGTAGTCACAAAGTAGAAAAAAACAATATAAGTTGTTCAATATTACAAAAATATATACATAATTGTAAAATGAATAATACACATTTATTTTAAAAACTAAAAACTATGATTTTACAAACTATAAATATTTACAATTTAAAGCCAATAAACTGTACAGACTTTTATTACTTTAAACACAATTTTAAGACAACCAAGTCCATCAAGAGACTAAAATGTCTTAATACAATCAAAAAATATATATATAATTCACTACATACACATATTTAACTGCATATATGTATATATATAAACTCTTTTTTCAGCTGAAGCAAGGACTAACAGTTACTGTTTAAGAATAATTTAAGAACTTTGAAGAAAAAATAAATTAAAAACTGTTCATAATGGCAGAAGAAATAAAAAAATCTCAACAGTTCAAGATTACATATAATAAATTAGCATACTTCAAACATAACAAGAAAGAGAAAACTTAAATTATTAAATTACAACTCGAAAAAAAAAGTGAGGAGAGTAGTTTATAAATATATGTAGTCAATAAATTAACACTATACTTTGGTAAATGACACAAGAAATAAATAACACATAGCCTTCAATAACATACAACAAATTTAATGAGTCTTTTATTTGGTCACAGGGGCCAAATATTTACTATTAGAACGACAGTTCATGAAAGATCAGAGAAAAATGTCAGAAATATGCTCGATACATTCAACATCAATAGAAGTTAATTCAAGATACATTTCATACTTTAAAAATCAACAAATTCGAAATCTCTTTTTTATATATTTGAAACAGCCTAAAATCTTCAATAGGTTTTATAAACTTTTTACAACAGCAAAAAAATTAATAAAACATCCCAGTGAATTACCCAGGTATTGATTCATCACAAGTCAATTCAAACTTTGTACATTGCTCAGAACCTACACTCAAAATGTTACCATGCTGTGACCTTCAGTTTCATCGGGTGAAACCATATCATCCCACAAAACTTCCACCATTTGTACACTACCATCATCAGCAACTGATAGAACTTGCTTGGTTGAGTCCGCTCCCTCAGGCATCTGTACATACAATGTCCCGTCCTCTGCTTGCTCAACCTTTTGAACTATGATACCATTTTCATCAACCATACACAATGTGTTATTGCCATCTTCTCCTTCAACAGCTTGTAATGTCATTTGTTTTTCCACTTCTACCATAGCAAGCATCTGCCCTTTCTCAGTGCCATCTCCAAAATCCTGTCCAATTTCAGCAGCAATCATTTCTACAGTTTCTGGACCATCAACCATATCTTTTGATTGACCTTCTACTATATCTGGAGTAATAGTTTCTGAATCGTTCTCAGATATTCTATGAATCTGAACGATTGACGATTTGTCTTCACCATTTTGTTTTATCTGTGCTAAACTAATGTGCTTAGATACATCATGGACAGGTTGGTTCTGCTGGTTCTGAACCAATATCTGTTGCTGTCCAATTTGCTGTGTTGTCTGCTGAGTCTGTTGATTTGATTGATTCTGATTAAGAGATGCCTGTGTTTGAGAGGCTTCCTTCTTTTTGTTGTGAACTCTTGCATGGTGAGCCATAAACGAACTGTAATTGGTAGTATATTTACACTTATCACACTGTAGCCAAGATGTGTCTTTACCAGCATTTCTAACATCATCAGGAATATTGTCACCACCTCCCATCATAGCTTTTCTTTTCCTAGCCTGCAATAAATATTACTTAATTAAAACTCATAGATTCTTTAAACTAACAAAAAAAAAACTATCATGAATGCTTTATATCCAAATTAATAATAAAAAAAAAGTGAAAAATGTGTTCTCCAACAATTAAATAAGTTTATCAGTTTATAGAGATACTTCTTAATAAATCATTAATTAATTGTTAATTTGTCTTTAACAAGTTACCTTCACAAAATCGGTTCTTTAAACAAGATTATAAATACAGTCCTGTGAATAAATAAAACCTCAAGGGAAAAAAACTAAAATTATTTAATTATTAATATAATTATTAAATTATTAGTTATTTAATCAACATTAAATTATCTAATGTGTACTGTAAATGATTAGTTACAATTTTAATAAACAATTTAATTTTATTTCCAGAATTAGCTACATACAATTGGGACAAAATAACAAAACAAATCTGTGAAAAAATTTAAACTCAAAACTTTTTATCTTTTTAATGAGTAAATTCATTTTATAATGAGAACTTCTGCCATGTTTTTAGATCAGCTCTAACAGTCTTTTGGGAACACTTCTTACTAAATTAATTAAAGTGCTCTATGGTATGTTTTTCTAACCACATGTGATCCTTCTTTGAGCTCATCAATATTTTGTATTTCTGGCTTCCGAAGGAGGTAGAATTCTCTAACAATTATCCCCCACAAATTTTTAATCATATTGAGATCCAGACTAAGAACTGAATAATCCAAAAGATTCATCCTGAAACCATTGTGTTGTAGAGCGTGCTATATGAATTGGCATGTTATCCTGCTGATAAATGATTTCTCCTTCTTCCAACATTGTAATAAACAGCAAAAAGAACTCTTGTAAAACATTTTGATAACTAACAGCATTCATTTTGCCGGAAATGAATGCAATTTGAGACTTCCTCTTAACATTAAAAGCAGCCCATACCATTACTCCGTCATATCTTCAAAATATCTTTAAAAGTCAAAGGCGAGGCTTTCTGTTATATTGAGATATATTTAATTATTTTTAATACCGGAGATAATCTGACAATTTGGTATAATTAAACCAAGGTATAATAGCCAATTGTATCTGCTGCTGGACTGAAATTAGGTTAAGTTATTCTGTTTAATTATTTTGCTTTTTATATATCTTCTTGTTATTTATACTCATATATGCACATATTCTGTTTATAATTAAGTAAATATTAAAGGAACATTTTATTTTGTTTGTGGTGGTGTCTTATATTATATTTAAATTTCTTTTATATTATATATTCCTTTTTTTTTAATCTAATGTATGACATTATAATTATATTAACTATCATTGTTAATCTGGTCATTGAATTGGTCTCCTTAACTCTAAACAACCAAAAAGTTAAATTTTTCCTATGGATTTTTTTTGTTCTATCCATTTTACGAACTCTTCCTCACATTAATATTTGCTGGTGAACAAAATTTGTGAATAACAAACTGGCGAATGTTGAGAGATTATTGTATTTCCGAAAACGGCTTCTTACGGAGATTTTATTCTCATATAAAAAATTGTAAGCCTTGAAATATAGATATTGTTCATCCAACGAAAACGGTGAAAAAGCTATAATCACCTTACTTGGCAGACTTTTTTTTTTTAAACTGCTATAGATCCAAATGATATAAATATTGCTTTTAAGTCACTAATACATCAGATATTAAACTTTTAGAAAATGTTTTCACCTATTTTTGAAAGCCACTTATCCAACTGATGTTCATATAGATTGTTTTGTAATAGTATTTCAGCAACACATATTAAGTAGCTTTAGTTCATGAATAATAACGTTTTATAACCCATTTTCGGGTTAATTTGTGAATTAGTAATAACTATCCCATAATCAAATTTATGCCAGGAAATTGAGGAGTTTATTTTTAGTGATTATAAGTAGATTTGTACGGGTTGAAATAGTGAGCAGTAAGTCTGATAAAAAAACTTATTTTATATGAACAAATCACATCACTCATATCTCAATCATTTATGAAGATAGAAGGTCGAGGAAAAATATTAAGTGTTTTCAAATTATTAAGATTAAAGAAACTAAAATCCAAATAATTTGTCAATAAGTTTTTTAAATCCACTTACCTATGAATGAAATATATAGTAAGGAAAAGCATTATGATGTGTGTGTATGTCTGAGTGTTTGTATGTGGGAGTGAATGTGCAGGCTTGCAGGTGCCGGGAAAATTTTATTTAAATTAAGATATAGATTTCAATGAAACAGAATCTAAATGCAATTATATTAAATATTAATATAGATTAAATATTAGATAGTATGACAATTTGGTCTTTGTTTATCACTTTTACAACTAGCCTCAATAATTAATTATTTCATTTCCAGCACAGGGGAAAGATTGAAAATAGATATACACATATACACAGCACAAATGTTAAACAAAGGAAAATAAATATCGATATAAAATTAATTTACCTGGAAATCATTTGGATTTGGCTCCCTCGCTGAAAAAGAAAAAAAAAATTAAACTACTTAGAACCAATTTTAAATTATTAATATTTAAAAATGTAGAAATAAGTATAACTTTAAGTTTAAATACATCAACAATTACAAACATTCATTAGAACAAAATTACTTAAAGATATATATATATAAATATATATATATGACAAAAACACATTTATATTAAACCTGGACACATGATCCATTGTCTAAACATATCACTGTCATTTATTAATTTTTTGCTTTCTATATATGTAATATATAGTAAGGGAAAGTATTGCGATCGTGAAAATTTTCAACAGAAATACACATTTTGAGATCCCTTGAGTCAAAAAAACATGATGTGTGCGTGTGTGTGTGTGTGTGTGTGTGAACAGCGTAGCTCAAAATTGAAAAGTCGTAAGAAACTGATATTATGTATTTAAAAACCTTAAGGTTAGTATATGCCTGAGAAGTTACGGCAACTTTTTTGTAAAAATTGGCAAACCAGAAGTGGCACTTTATATAATCGATTTAAAACATTTTTTCGAAAACGGCTCAAACGATTTTATTTAAACTCAATATATCAGTGTATTATTAAGTTGTTTTTAATATCAGCTAGGTCTCATCTACATTGATTTCACTTTGCAGGGCTTAAATGCCGAATGTTTATATATGTCTTCCTCTAAAGTAGCTTTAATTTTGTTTTAAATTAAAAAAAAAATTACAGTAACTATAAAAAATGGCTAAATATAAGTTTTGAAAGAATTTGATAATTGAATAAAGGAGAAAAAAATAAAAATGCTTATTCAGGTCGAAAATGAATCTCCGGAAATATTAGTCAGAAGGTATAAGTATAATATATCGTTGGAAAGCGGAGATTTAAAAAAAAATAATATCTAATAAATAAAGTTGTAGAACGTAAGGGAGAGTGAGGAAAAAAATATAAATAACAATTTCTGCAAACTAACATTATTTAATGTAAATGTAAATAACATGTTTCCAAGTTGCAATTAAATGAAATTTTCTTACTAAATGAGAACTGTTAAAAAAAATTTAAGTAAGAAAAAAAAATTAAAATTCACTGAATCTGTACTGTCTACTGAAAGTAGTGTGGTGAGAGTTGTTTGATGCACTGCACCATTTTAATAAATGAATCAATCTTTTAATGATGGTGGACTCACATATGAGTCGGGAGCCATAGACCTCTTTCTAGTTAAATGACAGGTAGCTCAGTGATCAATTCAACTTTTAAACTTTCTTCTTGCAGCCTTTCTATGAGGCAGTAGGAAATCTTTCTGAGGCTGGAGATTATGGGAATTTTGGAATATCCTAAATAAAAATGTAAAAGTGGTGAGTGAAGATGATGAAAGTATTCTGTTATAGGGACATGGAAAAGTGCTGGGCTAGCACCATCATCAAGGCAGTTTCCATCCCTCTCGCTCATTATTATTTATTTACTCATTAGAATTTAAACTTAAACAGTTGTAAAAGAGTTGGAAGTAAAAGAATATTTAATAATAAATAATAAATAGATATTTCTTTGGTCAACTATACAAAGACATCTATTTGGCTGATTTTATAAAAATGTCATTAATTCTCAACAACAATCAAGGTTGTGAGAATCTTCACAAAGATGTTTAGCTGATCACTTGATGGCATTATAACGCCAACCAATTCAATAGACCTTCATATAGGAATGTCTATTTACAGAGATTACTATGTCCACATTTATTAAAACAGCCGAGATGATGTTTAAGTAAAAAGTATATACAGGATTGTTTATAGTCAGTAATGAGAGGTCGTGATAGACAAGCGTACTAAAGTTTAAACTTTAAAATTTTCGTCCCTAGTGATGCTGCTTCGAATTCGGCATGGGTGGATTAAAATTTATTTTGTGGCGTCCTACAAAATGAATTTTGACTGTTACACTCAGGTTAGAATAGGTTAGCTTTTACCTCTAAAACAACCACTCCATAGGCCAGAAATGGTGAAGTAGGGGATTACAAAAAAAAATTTATACAGGGTTGCTATTTAATGATAGTTTCCCCTGACCAATATGTCTGGTGACACAAATATAAAAAATGTATAATTTATAACTAAATTTATTCATTATACATTAAAGACATGTATAAAAAATAATGATGAAATCGGTTCTTTTCAATATTCTGCTAATAGGGTTAAGGCAGATTTTACACGAAAAATCTAACGAATATTTAAAATCAATTTATGATCCTTTTGATGAACCACAAACTAATATTTTGTGAGGATGGGTACAAAGATTCTGCTCCTGACACAATTAATTAATTAATTCAGCTCAACAACCCGCAATCAGGTCTTAGCTTCCTCCAACAGCTATCGCCATGCGTCTCTATTTTGTGTTGCTGCCATCCAATTTGTCACTCCAATGGACCTTAAGTCACCTGCGACACAGTCCGACCACCGCAGCCTGAGTCTCATAACTCCGCGCCTGCCGAACTGCTGCTCTGTTATTATTTTCTTCGGAATTGATTGCTCCGGCATCCCTGCGAGGTGTCCTTAATCTTCCTGTCTTGATAATTGCGACTGCATCAGACTTGTTATAGATTTCTCTATTTCTAGGCCTTCAAGTTTGCTCAATAGATGGGAGCGGAGTCCATAATAACAGCAATTCGCTCATTCAATAATGTTTTTAAAAAAAAATAGCTGTGAAGCTGCCAGCATTCTCTTTCAGTTAACCAAAGAATAAAATTAAGTTTAGTTGACAGTTCATGAGAATTATCACGATGCTGACATATTCATGGAACGCAATTTTTTTATAAGTTAATGCTTGACAGGCCTCAACATTTTAAAATTGAAAAATGTTCTAATGGAAGTTTATCTATAGACAGAATTACCATTAAGATGTTAATTACTTTATTTAAAAAAAAAAATAAATATGTCCCTAGCTGTATGTATTACAAATACCACATGGTATTGGTATGTTTTTCTTTCCAAAAAAACAGTTTTTTAAGTCCATTTTGCTTAAATTTTATTCATTATTCTTGTTTGATTTCAATATAACGGACAGTGCCATTATTGACAGTCAAAGGTGGATGAATAGAGTGGTATATAGTGGTCGTTTGTAATGACGAAGTTTACCCCTAAGTCCTTTGTAAAAGTTATACATAGTATATTTATATCCAATTTGAAAAACATACTAAAAAAAATCTCTGACTTTATCCTGTTTTGAAAATTCCGTGATTTTTTCCATTTTTCCAGATTGGTCGACACCCAGGTTATAGCCAGTGTGGCAGCAAAGCTTAAAAAATATCATGCAAGTTTAAAAAAATAATAGTAAACCCCTTTTAATAACTCTAAAATTGTTATTTATCGACCCTTTTTAGTAAATAATAACATATTTATATAATAAAATTAGATAAATAATAAATTTAAATTGACTTAACTGATAAATCAAATTATTTAGCTAGCATGAGAATCATCAACACAAAAAATTATAAAAGCCTAATCCATAAAAATTTTAAATGGTGTAGAGATGGTTGACCGTGATATAATACGAGAAGTTGGTCAGGGGGTACGGTCAAATAAATACTAAATTGTTAAAATAGTATTTTAATCATTATACCTCGATCCACTTTGTAGTTCTTCATTAGGGCCACAATAGATACAAAATATAAAAAGTACATGGTGAAAATAAAATAAATGAGTTATTAATAGATATTAAATAAGAAACGTCTGATAAAAAATAATAAGATGACATCAGATATATAGTGGGTGACAGTGTAGTTAAAATATCAAGTATTACATACATAGAAGATACAAACAAAAATAGAAAACAAGTGCAAATAAATATAGAAAACAAAGGTGAATACAGCGTGTAAGTTAAAAGTAAGCAGACTGTGATAAAAGATAAGAAATGAGTGGATAAATAACTGGTGAAGGTTATATTTGATAACTGCAGGTTAACAGATAAAGAAAATGAGGGTTGGTGAATACAGAAATTGAAAATTATTATCTCAATTATGAAAATTATCTTACTCTTATTTTACCTTTACTAGATCATTACTTATTCATTTTTCAATTTCTTTATTGATCAAACCTCGTTTTCTTTATCTGTTAACCTACAGTTATCAAATGTAACCTTTACCAGTTTGTTATCCACTCATTTCTTATTTTTTATCACAATCTATTAACTTTTAACTTACACGCTATATTCACCTTTGTTTTCTATTTTTATTAACACTTATTTTCTATTTTTGTTTGCATCTTCTGTATATGTAATGCTTTATATTTTAACTACACAGTCACTCACTGTATCTCTGATGTAATCTTATTATTTCTTTATCAGACAACTGTTTCTTATTTAATATCTACTAATAATTAATTTATCTTATTTTCACCATGTACCTTTTATATTTTGCATCTTTTGTAGCCCATTTTTCTTTCTTTTTTTTTTCGGTCCACCCCTTCCTTCGGGATTTTCTCGGGCCAGGGGATTGGAAGAGGGTTTTAAAAGACTTCCCAAGCTCCAGGACGCCAACTTGCAACTAATTTATATCAATTGTATCATATATCAGGTTGCCAGACAACAGCGGTGCTGTGCAAACACGTTAGCCCGTTCGGTCACCCAGCCAACAAAAAATTATCCCCACATGAGAATTGATCATATGCCATTTGCTGCATAGATGTTATTGCCAGAGGCCCATGGTTTAGAACACTCGGTTAACTTACCGACTTAAAAAAAAAAAAAGAAAATGGTGGAACCAGTATTGAACCGTGAGTCTTCACAATCATAGCATAGGATGCAAGCCACTGGACTATAGAGATACTTAAAAATTGGTATGGTCGGCCGTGTTACCACGGCCTATACCTGTGTGTTTGTATATTCCATCCTTATCAAAGGGAGTGCTAAACTTCTCTCCTTTTTTACTAGACTATCTTTTGTAGCTCTGATGAAGACCTACAAAGTGGGTTGAAATGTTGGCGTAACGATTAAAATACTATTTTAACAATTTATTATTTATTTGACTGCATTCCCCGACCAACTCCTTCTCAAAAAAAATTAGAAATATTAAACCCTTCTAATGGTCAGAAAGTTATGCAATTGATGTTAATATTTTCAATTAATATTGTAGTGTCATATTTTTTTGACCCTAAATCACAATACCCTTAAATATTTCATTTCAGGTTACCAATTCTACCAGAGGATGGATAGATCACTGTCAGCAATTTATGATCTAGATAGTAAACATGACTTTTTTAAAGCTACCTAACAATATCTAACGTAATTAAAACATAAAACTACACATATACATATAACTTGCCACACAGTGGTTTAGGAGTAACCAACAGACATCAATGAAATATACACATAAAGAACATAAAATTGAAAATATGAGAAACTTAAAAAAATACTCACGTCGAACTTGATCCTTTAGAGGCAATGGTGGATTTGATCTAGTATTCACTAACTCCCCTTCTTCCATTTCATACTTCTTTTCTAAGTATCTAAGCACCATAGACCTTAGAGAACCAAGCTCTTTTTCTAGCCTATCCAACGAGTTAATCATGGTAGCACATCCTCGGCATATGATGTCATCTTCTGAAATCACCACCATATACCTAAAAACAAGAACAGTCATAACTAAACAAAGCCTCAATAACTCAAAGCAGCCAATATCTCAAATTCCTAATTATCAAAAGGTCATGAAAGATTTGATAATAGGCCATCAACATTCAGAATATCGAACAAATCACATAAGCTCAATATTAACCAACTATGGCATAGCCACAATAAGGATAAAGTGTGCTTAACACTTTATACTCATTGATTGAAACACACTCACTATTTGAAAGGTATGTAACAATATAAGAAAGAAAGGTTCAATTGATTTTGAAGTGCGATAGCTCTAATTATTCAGTGAGATACTAAGTGTAACGTTTTTGAAACAATTAGAGCTCAAAATAGTGAAAAAAAATTTGTGGATAAGCCTGTAAGATTGTGATAAACACAAACTAAAATTAATCCAATCAATCGAAATATACATAATAAATATCTTTTGATGAAACATTTGAAAAATACGAATTTTGGCCTAATTTTTGTAAAACATGCAAAAAAAAAAAAATTCATTTACATTCACATCCAAGCCTTAATCATAATTATGAACGAAATTTTCCTCCAAAAGTGGTGGATAATTAACTAACAAAGGACTGGATTCGTCATCTCTGTCTACTTTAGGATATACTGGGATAGTTCCATCAGTAAGCCCCCCAATGTGATCTTGAAACTAGCCATAATCTTGGAGAAGCGATTTGGAATGAGTATCCTTCTGATTTTATAAAAGCAGGTTTGATATTTAACAAAACTAAATCTTTGTTAATTAGTTAGAATTCTAGATCTTTCTTCATTAAATTTATTTCTCCTTAACAAACTTTCCCAAAAGCCAATTTAAAAAAAAAAAAAGTTTCTATTAAAAAGTCCAATAAATAACTTATTAGAAAGAAATTGTGGAAGTTTTTTAATGTTTTAGATGTGTAAATAATTATTAGTAGCTAAAGTTTTAGACGCTGAAGAGAGGGCAAAGCATCCCCAAAATATTCACATAGTAACAAACACTTCAAATTGTAAGTAATAATTGAAGCTTAACATAAAACAACAAGCTATTTGAAATATAAACAAACATTATAAGAATAATCTTTAATGAAACCTGCAACTTCATGATAAAATTAATGTAACTTTGAACATCACTACAACTGATTCAAAAATACAAATAACTTACATCTGAAATTCAAACATCAATAATACTTCATTGAAAAATACTTTTAGACCAGTATCCATATACGATATGAATAATGGAACTAGCAACTGTAAAACTGCTTTTTGTACTACAGAAGAACAGTATAAGCTATGTTATTTAAATCATGTAAAAAAATCAAGTAAAGAAAACTTAAACAGCTACATGAAAACTCTTATTACTTTAAGAGGATTACCATCATAGTCACCTGAGTGTAATAAGTAATTGAAAAATAAACTTACTCTTCTCCAACAAGCTGTCCCAACTTCTCAATCAGCCTCACCTTGGTTGTTTGAGTTCTACATGTGGCCAAAGCATAATATCGTCCAACAACACCAATATCACAGACGAAACATATCAAACCCTCAGAACCAGTCGCCAGGCCAGTTTGACTTGCACTAGCCATTCTAACAGAAATAGTTAATTATTACAGTTCAATTTTACATCTTAAGAATAATTCAAGTTGACAGTACATTCAGAAATGACATTTAATAAACTACATTGATAAAATAAATATTAATGGTTATACTTCTGATTAGTCTAACCATCAATTTATCATGTTTCCATTAACATCAATATCAAATTTAACACAACAGAAATAGAATAAGACAAAATAAATTAAGAAATTATATTAACAAATTTTGAAATAAATTTAAAATAACTGCCTACCTGGCCTAATTGATAAAAGAATTAGAATCAAGAATCAATAAATTGATAGAGAAAAACCAACAATTATCTAAAATATTGAAAGCTTAAAGTTTATAACGAAATAATATTGGTGTATCAAACAAAATTTTCAAAAAATACCATTCAACATGCATACAGAAATATCGTGGAGGTTTAGGGTTATAAGAGGCGGGCCTTCAAAAAAAATTCCAAACTAAGAATAACAGTTTCCTACTTCAGTAAACAAGATACTGAAATCTAAATCTTAACTAAACTACATACCTTATAAAAGCAAACAGGACTTGGATTAGAAAGTTCACATGGAATCATTAAGGGAACTTTGTCATTTTATACACTTCAGAGATAACTTATGAAATTCCCGGTCAGAGAATGTAACATGGCCGTAGTTTCATGCGCCTACCTATTTATAATTAAAGAATTGTAACTACTCTTGCATGTACAACTAAAAATAAGTACGTAATAAACAATTTCTGTTAAGACCACGAAAACGAAGCTTTAAAAGAAAAAAAAGAACAGACCCACTCCACCAAGTTAACCTTAACTGGTGAAACGATGTGGTAAGGTTGTTGTTTTCAAAAAAAGGTTAACAATTTTAACACAAAACATGTTTAATATACAATAGTAAATATTTACCTATCGTCGATGATTATGATTTGTGATGATCCAAAAAAATACGTGCAGATAGTTCTTATAAAATAAATTTCCACGTCTTCAAATAAAAGTGGAACCAAAGCTCTCATACAGTCATCCCTTCTTCCATTGGATTGTCAGTGTGCGTGAGTGTGTTTGCAACCTGTATAGGTTTGGTTGGGTTTATTGGGAGTTTATGTTTTTGACTTAAGTAATTACGCCCCTCTGTTAAATAATTTTTATTTTTATTGTAAGTTATAAATGGGCACAGACAATCCTCTTAGCAATGTCGAAATTGAATTCAAGGAAATTGATTCCAAGAAGGGATGGGCGCAATTCTATCAGGTATGATAAGGAAATATTCATTTGGTTCTATTGTTCGATTGTCGTTAGTAATTATTAACAATTTGTTCGTTATTCTAAACAATCTGCTTCATTTTAAAGAACGAAATCGTCTTTAATTTTTTTATATTTACGATATGATTAATAAATAAAGTGTTTATTGTAATTTGTTGTTTCATTTGATTTGTTGCTGCACATAATGTGAGTAATTTAATTTGTAATAATCTCAATCATTTTTTGTTCGTTTTTGTGACAAGGTTTTTCACTTTATTTACAATGTATTTATTGTTATAGGAAATTAGAGCAGATAGCTCTAAAAATGACTTTACCACATTAGCTGCTGTAAAGAATAGAAACAAAAATCTTAATCGGTACAGAGATGTTAGCCCATATGACCATAGTCGCATTGTTTTGTCGAAAGGCAAGTGCGATTATATTAATGCCAACTTAATAAAGGTATACATGTTTTTATTTTATTTTAGCATAGTCACTATGATTGTATTTTATACCATACATACATTCAATTTTATTTTATTTCCATTTACATGAATAATATTCATTTCTAGTTGGATATGGCCCAGAGGCGGTATATTTTAACTCAGGGACCCCTTCAACTTACAACTGGCCACTTTTGGCTTATGGTATGGGAACAAAACAGCAAGGCAATAATAATGTTAAACCGAATTATAGAAAAACATCAGGTACAAGAAACACAAGTGTTTTAAAAGATTAAAATCGTGATAATTTACTTCATTGTCTAACCAGGGGTCTTTGTGCTTATGATTTCTCTCTGACATTTACTTTTCAGGAAAAGTGCCATCAGTATTGGCCTTTAGGGAGTCATAATGGGGGTGATGATACTTTGATATTAACTGATGTCGGATTACAAGTGGATTTCATTTCAGAAAAAGAATATTCCTATTATACTACAAGAATATTGAGGTAGAATTATTATTTGATTTATATGTTTTGTGTACTTGCGTGCTTCTCCTTCATCCTTACTAAAATTTCATTAATTTTAATCACTGTTAGATTAAATTCTTATCAGTCCCTTGTATACTTTAACCTATAAGTAGTACTTACATTTTATTTTTTCATGAAATTCCCTTTTTGATGTATTTCAGTTATGATATCCAGTGATATATTATACACATGATAGTTGTTACTGACTTAATGTATGATTAAAAAAAAAAAAGAAAGAAATAATTAAGATTTTAATTATTCTTAACAAGTTTATTTAACTATGATTTTTTACTTTTCAGAAATATTTAACCCTTATTAATTATTCATTGATAGATTTGTACATTGTAATTCCAATTAATTCAGGGTATTAAAGTTAGTCTTTCAAAGAAATCTATTAAAATGTGTTTTTTTTTTAATGTTTTTTTTTAAGTGTTTGTTGGTAATTTTTTTACTTGCTAGAACTAATAAAATATGCAGAATCTATACAAATATTTATAATGGTAGTTAATCAGTTTAAAATATAATGGTGTTATATTCTATAGGTGATATGCCCATCCATTTATTAATTATATATTTGTTTAATAAGGTTATCTTAAATGCATTCTTATTAACATCAAAGGAAGGATTAAGTTCTAACACTTATGTGTGCATAGCCAAAATTGTTTTTTTTTTCCTTGTGTTATATTATAATTGTGATTCATTTCAGTAATAAATCAGAAAAGCCTTTATGATGTTTAGATATGAAGAAAACTTATAAATAACTTTAGTGTCATCCTTTTTCTTATTCTTAACATTGTGGTAATTTATTTGTCTTAATAAACAATTAATTCATATCTTATATTTGATGCAAGTTTTGATTTAATATTTATAAAATACAAGTATTTTTTATTTTTTCTAAAGGCTGTAAATTTTCTTTTAAATATTCCTTTTTTAATAATTTCTTAAGTAACTTAGTAAAAAAATCACTCTCAATTTCTAGAACTATAAAAGATAACAAATATTTATTTTATTAATGACTGCTCTGATATTATACAATATATGTTATATTATACTATTATAATACATTATGTTATACATGGTACTAATGCTGGGGTGGGGGAAATTAGTCCCGCATGTGAGCCCTGCCGGTCGTTTTTGCCAACTCTTGACATCTTCCTTGGGGTTACCACCTCATACTAGAGTGGGAATGTCAACATTCATTTCACGGGACCCCTAGAAATGAAAATTAACCAACCCATTTGGGAATCAAAGCCACAACGATCAGAACCAGGCACTCTAGGACTCACGCCCCAACATGACTTTTTCAATATACATTACAATAGTAAACAAAAGTATGTTGCCTATCGTACATTAACTGATGTTCTAGCTAGCGTTTATTCAGTAAATACATCTAACTTGCCTTGGTAAGAAAAGTGTTTAGATCTTTGTTTCAGAGCCCCCGAGTCTAAAAAACTTACTTTTTGCTATCGTGTGACAATTGAACTAGTTAGCCAATTTGGCTTCTTTCTTTTTTTTTAAATTAATAATTCCGAATTATTATTTATTTAATATATATATTTAAACATAACTATTTAATTGGGAATAAGGACACTTATTAATTATTTAATAAACTACTGAATGTTCATTTCCTCTATGTTTATTGACGTTTCGTTCCCGGTATTTTCTTTTTATAAGTCAACGATGGGATCCTCTTCAAAGCTAGAATTTAAAAAATAGAGCTTCGATCAGGCCAGGGACACACCGACAGTCTCAGCACCGTCGACTGTGTGTGTCCAAGAGTGGACGGTGCTGAGACTTGCAAAAACACTTGTCAATCAAACTGGTTTTTCGACAAACTAACATAATTTTATATAAAACACTGATTCTCCCAGTTCTCGTTTATGGATCAGAAATCTGGAGAACTGCTGCAGCTGAAGAAACAGACTTCCAAATGATTGAAAAATTTGTTCTGATTGCGGACACGAAAGACAAGCAGGCCCTTATACAAAGATAGGAAGAACTCCTCCGCAAAGGTATGGCTATCAATACCTCCAAAAGCAAATTCTTAGTCATATCAAGAGAACGTCCAGCTGATCTGTAACGGGGAAGTACTTGAAGTTGTGCAGGAATTCACCTATTTGGGGACAATTATCAGCAACACGGGGAAGATTGACCCAGAAGTAGCGAATAGGATATCAAAAGCCAACCAAGTCTATTACCCTATCAGCAACAGCATAGTAGGGCACAGGGAAGTTGGCAAGGAAACAAAAAGGCACATATACAAGTTGGTATACCTCCCAACCCTCACGTATGGAAGCGAAAGCTGAATTATGCTGGACAAGCAAGTTAGCCGTGTGACTGCATCAGAAATGAATGCATAAGAGAGGACCTGGAGGTGGCAGAGCTAAGAAAATTACTGGAAAACCGACAGTTGAATGAAATGGTTTGGACACATTTGTCGGATGGAGGAGGAGAGAGATCCGCGAAAGATTCTGGAAGCTCGACCCACTGAGAGGAGGCCAAGGGGCCGCTCCAGAGTTTCCTATCAGGGGTATATACAGCGGATTGGAGAGAAGAGAGGCAAACCCCTCCAGGAAATGAGACGGCTTAGTAGGGACCGAGAGGCATGGCTGCATTGGATAGAGGCTCCTCGACTCTAGTAATGGCACAAAGAAGAAGAAGAAGGTTAGAAAACAAATGAAAAATAAAATATACCATAGATAAGGATATACATAACTGTTGAATTAATGAATTTCAAAACAGAAATAAATTTAAACAGGAACCAAACTAGAATACATATGTACATGAATTGGGAAAAACCAACATGGTTATGAATAATGAAATGAAAATATATTTTAGTATTTTGGGATATTTGTCCCTTTAGAACAAATTATAAGTATAGATTGCATGTTTATGTGGTCATAAATATATTATGTATTTGCAATATGAATTAATTAAAAATAAAAATATAGAAGAAGAGAGAGAAAAAGACAAGAAAATTGTACATATAACAGGAGTTTGTAGGCAAATAAGCAATCAGGAAATATACGAGTTGTTCGGAGAGCCTGATGTAATTGAAGTTGTAAAATGGGCTGCTCATGTGGTGAGAATAAGTGATCACTTGATCCCAATGAAACTGCTGGCAGAAATCATACCTGTAAAAGATAGAGCAAAAAGGCCAAGACTGCTTTAGTTTAGTGTGACTGTGTGCTCAATGACATGAGGAATATTGGTGTTTAAAGCTAAATGGTAGCCACACAGAACTCCTGACGACTGCTGTTGGGGAAGCCATGACTCATTAGCGAGTTGTTGAGTTCCAAAAATCAAGATAATATAATATTTCAATTTAGAAACATTTCTTTGTAATTACCATGTTTCTGCATCCGTATAAATATTTTTATTTTTATTAAAAAATTACCTATCATGCATCTTCATTTCATTTGTCTCGTTTGACTGAAATCTTTCTTTGTTATCAAGAAAATTTTCTGGCAAATTCTATAGATTTCACTAAAAGTATAATTAGTCATTCGACTACATTTTTACCAAAGATTGCAGGCATTTTGTTATTATTACGAGGTTAATTCAATCCTCATGTCCACTTTATGTGACTATTAATAAGAGACTGACTTTTTTTATTTAGAAGTGGAGGTAGTCACGTAAATTTTGGATATTGAAAGTAATGCAAATAAGCTTTTGAGTGATAACAATTATTTATTTATTACCAAAAATGTTAACAAAATTGGTTGACCAACAGACGGACCTAGACAACCTAAACACATTCTATGCAAGCCTGGTCAACAAAATTAAAATATGATGGATATGCATACATACATGCTTATGTATATATATTTTTTTTTTGTATATACAGAAACATCAGAACTTTACAGTTTTATTTACTCTTCTGGAAATTTGAGTACTAAATGTGGTGCAGTACATGTATCATATGACTTTCACTTACCATCATAATTTGTATAGAAATAGATATTTTCATGTACAGTGAGGCGATATTAAAAATTATTAATGGTATAACACATTCATTTAAAGCAATTAATTACCATATTCATATTTCACATGAAATTATGTGTAAGTGAAATATAACCGTTAAACCCTCCCCCCTCCCCCCCGTGAAGGGTCTTGGGATCTATATTGTTTAGGTACAGTACTGTTTCTTGGTCAACGGTTGTGCAAGAAGCTGATTTGACCGAGATCATGTTTCACTGCCAGGATTTCCCCCTTAATTAATTAATTATCGTTACCCACTTTTTAGAGGCTGGGTGTGCCCCAGGAGGGTCTCCTAACTCTAGGGTCGATATACAGCTGATGAAATAGAATAAATAATTTATCTGCCATAAGCCAGGATTCGAACCTGAGACTTTGAGCATTTGAGGAAGCTCAGCGCCCTATAACTGAGCTACCCCACTCCCTGAAATATAACCGTTAAACTAAGTATATATAAATACCAATAGGAGTGCCCTTTTCTGAGTAATTACAGATAAAATGCTTCTGAAAAAATAAAAAAAATTGTAATTGGCCATACATTTTTTATTACAATATTTCAGCATCTTATTAATCCAAAAAATAAGAATAACTTAATTTAGGTTAGTTTAGTTTAGGATAAAAATACATTATTTTACTAGTTTTATTGCTAATCTAATGGGCGGTCTCTAAGAATCGCTTTGGCCTGTGGAAAATATAAGTGGGTTGTTATACTTTAAAATAATATATTGGTGAATTTAATAAAAGGTAATGGCATTATAAAGGTTGGTCATCCACTTCATGGAGTGTGGCTGCGGCCTCATGAAAAGAAAAACGTTTTGAAACATGGCCATTAGTAAGTCCACTAATAGACGGGCAGGAGAAGATTCCTGGAGTTGGATCAGCGGTTTGCTTAAATCATATGTTGGTTCAGAATAACATCTGACCAAGCCTTGTTTTCTCCTTTATTGATTCTCAAATTCTTCTGTATTTTATATCTAACCATTTTTTATTACTACTTATAC